TAGTTAGTGATTTGCTCGGCGTCCAAATGAAGACATTAAAAGTGAAACTCCTCTTCAAATTCCTGTGTCCATGTTTTGTTTTGTGTTTTTAAAACAAATCCTCTGTTCAATGTGCCTTATAGGAATGGATGTTAACTCTGATCGATTCAGGAACACTCTGGTAGTTAAAGTGTTGGGAAGTTCTAAACTGTCACAGACATTGGAAGGATGGATAAATCACTAAACAAAGCTTACCCGTGCTATAAGAGGCTCTGGAGAAAGGCAGTTCCCTCAAATCCTGCCTTGTGCTTACAGACAATCTCAGAACCGACAGCTGCTTCTCCTGGTGGCACAGGCTTGGGGCAGGTAACTGAAGTGGCTGTCAGAGCAGAGCACATTCACCCAGGCTGGTCGGCAGCTCTCCTTGCCTTCCTGCAAGCAGCAGGAGGAGAGACTTGGGCAACAGCAATGGCTGTGGAGGAGCTGCTGAGAAACATTTTGCTTTCTTTTTGAGAAAAGGTTCCCACTTTGGGCTACTTTAGTCTATCACAGCAGAGTTTAAGTGTCAGCAGAATGCAGTGGAAATTAGATCCAGCAGCAATCAGGGCTGTGCACATCCCTTTGTGAATGCTCAGCACAAGAAGGCCAGAGGCAATGGTAGCCTCTTGCAATCACAGCTTTGCCTGCTAGAGGCAATCTGGAGCTGACAGCTGTCACCAAAGGCTTGGTTACAAGTCCTCAGCTGACTGTAAAAATGCCCACAAAGAACTGTCAAGTGACTGAAACAAAGTCATTCAAAGTTAAGTGTGCTTGCCACCATTCAAACAACTGTTTTTTTTGCCAGCAGTAATTACTGAGACGCCAAAAATCAGATGGTGAATTACCTGCCAAGGAGAAGGCTGCACCTCCTCCCCAGCGCTTCTTCCACATCTCTGATCAAAATGCACTCACCAAGTGGCTCAGAAATGAAAGCAGCATCTCAGTGCTGCACTCAGTGCTTCGGTGAGCCAGGAGTCACCTCGCAGACTGGTGACTGCTGGACCAGTTTGCCCACCAGGAGGAATTAAACAGGGCCACCACTGCATGTCTTAGCAAATGTCTGAGGCTGAGGTGCCACATAATGTTTCTTTTCTGCAGCACGTGTATTTGAAGGGAAATTATTTTTCTTCTGCTGTAGATATGCTTGGACTTTTAGAAGTAATCCCACTGGGATTTCTTTCGGATGGCAGTTGGAAGACAACAGAAAAGGAAAAATTGGAGCTTGAAAATAGAAATCCCATTATGTTTACGCATACCTCATGACTGAGAATCCTTTAAGTTAATGTGAACACAAACAGAATATGTTTGCTTAAGGTCTGGTCAGTCAGGCTGTGCTCTAATTGACTGCACTCTGACTGTGCTCTCTGTCTCCCCACTACCAAATTCTGAGGTGCAAATCACCACGGCAAGATAAAGAGCTCAGCTACAACTGCAGAAGTCAGTTCATTCTCCCAGCATCTTCTGGTCCCCACTTTTTATACCCCTGCAGAATATCACCCACTACATTATTACAAATGTTTACGTATCACTTTGCATTTGTGGATTTCAATGCTCTTTATGAAAGACAGCAAATATATTATTCTGTTTTCAAGATATGGAAATGAAGTGGCTTGAGAATCAGTGGTTATTTCAGGAAAAGAATCCAGGTCTCTCGAGTTACAGTCCAGATGCTTTTCCAATCATAATATTTGTTAAAGTGCTTCAGACAAGAGTATCTGAATTTGAGCACAAAAATCTACTTAACAGATGGATAGGCCTATATTTTTCAGCTCAAGACAAAGACAATGAAATTTTTCCCTTGGAGTCATTATTAGAAAACTATGACCTAATTGCTATCATAGAAACACGGTGGGACAAATCAAAGCAACTGGAATGCTATGATTGAGAGCTAACAGGTGTTTAGAATCATAGAATCATCATAGAATCACAGAATGGCCTGGGTTGAAAAGGACCACAATGCTCATCTGGTTCCAACCCCCTGCTATGTGCAGGTCACCAACCAGCAGACCAGGCTGCCCAGAGCCACATCCAGCCTGGCCTTGGATGCCTTCAGGGATGGGGCATCCATAACCTCTCTGGGTAACCTGTTCCAGTGCTGGAGTTGCCCTCTTTGTTAAGAAATCGACAGATTGTAAAGAGCTGCCTCTGAGAAACAGTCACAGTCAGATTGAGAACCTGTGGGTGAAAATTAGGGTCTGGACCAACAAAGGACATCTGGTGGTCGGGGTCCGCTACAGGCTGCCTGACCAAAGGAAGCTGTGGGTGAGGCCTTCTTGCTTCAGCTGCAAGAAGTGTTGCAGCCTCCAATCCTGATGGGGGCTTTCAATCATCCAGATGTCTTCTGGGAGAGCAAGACGGTGAGCTGCAAGCAGTCCAGGAGACTCCCAGAGCCCACTGATGATAACTTCCTAGGTATTAGACAAACTGACCAGAGGAGAAGGGTTACTGGACCGGGGAGCTCAAGGATTCAGAAGAGATCAAAAAAGAGATTAAGATTAGAGGCAGGTTGGGCTGCAGCTGCCACACCATGGTCACATTTGTGATCTCAAGGAATACGTGCCTGGCAAAGAGCAGTCAGGACCCTGAACTTCAGGAGAGCAAACTTCAGGCTGCTCAGGGAGTTGCTGGATGAGATCCCCTGGAAGTTGTTCTTAGGGACAAAGGAACAGAGCAGAGCTGGCAGCTCTTTAAGGATGCCTTTCTGAGAGCGCACAAGCTGTCCAACCTCCAGAATAAGGAATCAAGTAGAGGAGGCAGGAAACTGGCATGGCTAGGCAAGTACGTGCTGGTCAGACTGAGGGAAAGAAGCAAATGTACAGGCAGTGGAAGCAGGGCTGGGTGGCCTGGGAAGAACACTGAGACGCTGTCTGCATGTGCATGGATGGGAGCAAGAAAGCCAAGACTGCCCAGAGAAACTGTGGGTACCCATCCCTGCAGGTGTCCAAGGCTGGGGGGCCCTGGGCAGCCTGACCCAGTGGGGGGCAGCCAGCCCACGGCAGGGGTTGGAACTGCATGGGCTTTAAGGTCCCTTCCAACCCAAGCCATTCTATTATTGTATGAGTTCCACCTGTGGAAAAAGGGGAGGGGAGGGGAGGGGAGGGAAGGGAAGGGAAGGGAAGGGAAGGGAAGGGAAGGGAAGGGAAGGGAAGGGAAGGGAAGGGAAGGGAGCCTCTATTAGACCATGTCCAACCCTCACATCAGTACTCCATTTAAGGAGAGTCAAAGAGGGGTCACTTCAGGACAAAAACATTTTCAAATAACTCTGTAAAAAAGAAGAGGGAAAATACACAGCCTCAAGTCACAGAATCACACAATCACAATCACAGAATGGTAGGAATTGGAAAGGACCTCAAGAGATCACTGAGTCCAACCCCTGCTAAAGCAGTTCCCAACAATTGGTCACACAGCTCAATGTCCAGATGGGTCTTGAATACTTCCACAGAAGGAGACTCATTTCAGAGGGACCTCAACAGGCTTGAAAGATGATCAGGAGACTGGAGCACCTCCCCTACGAAGACAGGCTGAGGGAGCTGGGCTTGTTCAGCCTGGAGGAAAGAAGGCTGTGGGGTGACCTCATTGCAGCCTGTCAGTACCTAAAGAGAGCCTGCAAACAGGAGAGGAATCAACTCTTGGAAAGGGTGAGTGACAGCAGGACAAGGGGAAATGGTTTTAAGTTGAGGGAGGAAAGATTTGGGTTGGATGTCAGGGGGAAGTTCTTTGCTATGAGAGTGATGAGGAGCTGGAACAGCTGCCCAGAGAGGCTGTGGATGCCCTGTCCATGGAGGTGTTCAAGGCCAGGTTGGATGGGGCCCTGGGCAGTCTGGGCTGGTATGAAATGTGGAGGTTGGTGGCTCTGTGTGTGGCAGGAGGGTTGGATATTCATGATCCTTGAGGTCCCTTCCAATCCTGGCCATTCTGTGATTCTGTGATTCTGTGAATTCCAAGACTAGGCTGTAAGTTCAGTCCACAAATATTTAGCAGTCAGAACAGACCAGAATTAAAACACTAAAACATTACATTCCCTTTCCGTGGTGGTAGCAGAGCATCAACCATCATTTATATGGACTTAGTCTTTACTTATGTAAGAGATTAAAAAAACTACAGTACAACAAAAGTCATCGATTTCACAAGATGTGACTGCTAAGAAAAATGGCTTTCATCACACTTCATAATAAATTTATCTAGAAAGTCATTTGTTTAAAGTGTTGCCTCAGAGAGATCCCTGGAGACATGCCATTTTGATGGCACTCTTTTCATTATTCAAATATAATGAAGTGATTCTGCATAGTTGTGCTGGACTATAAATCACCGCTGTAAAAAAGGCACGTTCAGCATGTTAATAGACTGCAGATCAGATTCTGAGGAGTGTTTCATAACTACACGTGCACTTTATCTCTTGCACATACACACTAGATAGCAGTTCGTACACCTTTCCCAAACTCCATCATTATCAAATTCAGGGACTGACAGGGGAGAGATTTTAAGGAGACTTTAAAGAGTATTTTGCACTTCACGTCCCGTGCTACTGTAAATATACTGCCTGCATAAAAGCTCACAGCAGACTCACACAGCACGTAGATATGGGGGGAAGCCAGCAGAAGCAGAAAGGAGAGCTCTCCAGGTTCTTAGAAAGCTGATCTCTAACCATGTACAAGTTTAGTGTCAGACAGGTGCACCTTAGAATGCCTGCAAGAGAGAAGCTGCTCAGCACACCAGCAGCAGCATTTGTTGCAACCTCCTTCAGGTGAACAAGGAATTAAGCATGCATTAACATGGAGAGCTAAACAGCATCTTCAGAAGAAATTGCCACTAGGTCATCTGAGAGGAAAACTCACTGTTAGAGATGAGCAAGAAGAGTCTAAATGTCTTCCTCCCAAAGCTGCTCGGATTTTTGTTTTGATTTAATTTATACTCAGCCTTTAAGCTGAGTGAGCGTTAATACTTCCCTACAGCTGCAAACTGCAGCCCAGCAGGGATCTGTTTCACACCATGGGATCTGCAGGTGTGACTCAATCTGGATTTACAGGATAATTCTTTGACAGCCTCACAGAAGCCCAGAGGTACAGTTTCACTTTGGGTCCTATGACTCCATGTCTGCAAGAGAATTTCTGGGGAGGTCCTGGTAAGGTTTCAAGAACAAGCAGGTGATAGCAGTGCACACAACTGGCAGTGCACACAGTACTCTGGATAAGGCCCCCAAACTGTAAGTCTACATATCTGTGTGCAAAAGTTATAACCAGTAGAAGTAGGTGATGAGAGAGTTTCAAAGGCTGTATTCCAGTCCATAGTGTCTCTCTTCCACTAATTATGAGATTTTGCCCTACATTTTTATTGCCTCTCATCACTTTATCACATAGCCATTCAGATCTTCGAAAGCTGAGCCAAGAACGCAAAGACAACAGAAAGAGACCTAATCTACAATTAATCTAATGCAAGGTAAAGTAATTGAGAAATTCATAAATCATTTCCACATTTGGGATGCAAATCTGGAACATATAGCAGTGGGTGGAATATAGTGAGCATGGTGTAATGCTATTTGACCTGGCTGACAGGAAAATCTTGAAGATGAATGACATTTGGAGTAGAAAACACAAAAGCTTGCTGCACTCAGCTTCCTCTGGACTTGCTGAAAAGGTGAGGTGACAAAGAGGAGGCCTCAAGATCAGGAGATGTGTTAAATGCTAGCAGCAATTGCAGCACTGCTTACAGCCAACAGTCCAGATTAATGCTGAAAAGCTAAACAGAGCAGTGTGAAAGCTGAATCTTGAAGTGGTTTTGTGCTCCCCATTGTACAACTAATTGTGGAGACAATAATTTTTGTGAAACTCAGCCCAATACGTGTCCCACCTGATGCCATTGGCTTCAGTAGAGCTGACTGCTTGATTGAGCCAAACAAATTCAATTAGTTGATACAGAAGCACCCAAATTCTGTTAACTATTTTCAGGGGCTGCATAGATGTCAGCATGGAGAAAAAAACCTTATTTCCTGTAATCCCAAGCAGAGGATTAGCATGGCAATACTTTCCCAACAGGACCTTGCAGGTTTGCCATACAATACTCCAAATGGTAGTTTCTATGTAAATAAGGCTGAACAAAGGAAATACCCAGGTTCCTATCCTTAAATCACTGAACTTAATGCGATACCAGTGTCACTGAGAAGACAAAGAAGGGTGGGACTTCTTAGTAGACTCAGAAGACCCTTAACTCTAAGTCACATCAGCTTGCTAAGCATCTCTCGGCTGTTCCTCAAGATTTTAACCCTCACAAGTCTCAGTCTGGTCAGAACCTCCAGATATGGCTACAGCGGAATGGAAAAGGCACATCTGGGAGTAGGAAAAAAAACAGATAAGCAAAAAACCCAACCCAATTCAAATGCTGCCATATCTCTGTTTTAACCCTCATTCAGAAAGTCCTTCCAATTTCTTGCTGTTTCTTAGAAACGCAGTTTAAGTTGAACTATTGCAAGGAGAGGACCTGTGACATGGAGAAAAAGACTTTCTACAGTTCCATAAATCTTTTTTATCTATTGTCTCTGGAATTATGGAATCAGCTCTTGACAGACAAAAACCAGAAAAAGAATGGCAGAGATGTTCACCTGGAGTGCATCTAATTCGGGTGACTACAATATGCAGAAAAAGACAAAGTGGTTTTCACTCAACAGAGGGCTTTTGTTCAGAAACAAAGGGACAGTAACCTCACCTGTGCTTTCAGATCATGCACTTCTAAGCTGCACTCCTGGTAATGTGCTGCTCCTCGTACCTGAGCTCCTGCAGATCACAGCTTCTCCATTCTGTCATTGAACAGGGCTGCAGTGCCAGCAGGTACTTGTTGTGCATTCAAATACAGGAGTTACTGCTCACTGAAAAACAGCACACGAGTTCACAATCAAACTTCACACGGCTAAGGAATGCTGGTACTCCATTCTGTCACAGAAACAAGGCTGGTCAGTTATAAATTCGGTTAATGCCCTCTATCTGCTCATATGCACTGTTTCCTCGGTCTGTTCAGTTTTATACTTACACTTCACATCCCCAGCTGCACTGTGTACGACAATTTACGCCTTATCTGTTCTTTACAGAGTCTGTCTCACCGTGTGAGGCATCGTAAGAACAATTAGAAAAGAGAAACAAGCGTGAAGGACAACGTGGTGTGCACGTGTCTGCTGCTGCAGATGATTAAAACAGATTAACTTAGGCAAGTTTCTTATTCCTGCAGTGATCAGTCAAAATCACTCACGCTCTAAAATGCTACCAGTCATTAACCATGCCAGCTGTGTGCTAGAACAAGTGGGGACTGCTATCCAATGGGAACCACCAGGCAGAGCCTTCAGGAACTGCTCTACAGCAGTGAAATGCCACACATTTCCAAAGAGCTTAGTGCAGCTTTAGAATTGAGCCATGAGACAAACTGGTTCGATTTTACTTACACAAAAATACGTGCTGGAAAAGCTGAGTACAAGGATTTTCTCTGCACAGCTGAACTCTTACCCACCATGAGCAGAGGGTGAGAAACCTTACTCAAAATTCACAACAACAAATGATGTTTCCACGCTGATTGCATTACATGACACATAATGGGCAAAAACTCCTTCAGCCAAGTATTGGCAGAAAATAAGAGTACACATTTTTAGCATTTCATCATGAATTCAAATTTTAGCCTGATCCAAGCCTCGGTTTACCATTAAAGTTGGAAGGAAAAATATCTGTACATATATTCATTAGTCTCCAAGTTGCCAAGCATCAGTTTTCAACGGAGAAATGCCACATTTGACATTGGAAGCAGCACCAGACAAAATTACAAGGCAGGTTCAAAGGCAACTGTGAGCGAGATGGAAAACACTGATGCATGTCAGGATCAACATGGAAACTGTTGGACAAAGATCTATTGTTCTCTAGACAGATTGTCATAAAATCTATTGAAATAGACCAGAGAGCACAAAAGATGAGAAAGACTCTTTTAAGTGTGATGCAAGTTAAAAAGATAGAAAGTTTATCACAAAGAGCTGAAGTTGTATAATAAAATAATAAAACGGGACACAGATCTTTGCTAGCTCCTTTCCTCAGGTATTCCTTCTCTCACATCATTTCATATCATATCATATCCATTTCATGCAGTAGAATCTGCAGACGTAAAGGAGACTGGGATCCCGATTCGACATTTCAATACAAACACCTGTTTGAAGACCACTGAAAACCTGCAGCAAGATGCAGCATTAACAGATGAATCTCCTACTGAAATCTTGCCTTCCCCTGTCACCAGAAATTCTCCCTCGTCCAGTCCTTCCGATAGGGATGGAAATCAGGGCAACAACCAAGGAAGGTTTCATCCTACTCCACCCTGCTGGACTGTAGAGCTGTGATTTACCCCCAGTTTCCAGTGGGACTGAAGGCACAACTTCAGTGTGGTACACGAGTTGAATTTTAGAAGTAATTTGTACAGCATGACTTTTGACATGCAGAAACACACAGTTCTATCAGGTCTGTTAAATTGGCAAAGCTAACAGAAGTAACCTGTGCAATGCCACGAACAGATCCTGAAAGAATGAGCCAAGGGGGAGGAGAAGAAAATGTCAGTAAGGGCTCCCAGAGTATCTCCCCTCTATCTGTTCTATGGTCATTCTGTATAGTTATATCCTTTGCTACTCTCTGCCAAAAGACAGACTGACCAACCCCAAAACTGTCTCTCAGGTTCAATACACTTTTCCCATTTGCAAGCTTGGAAGTGTGGGAGGAATCCTTTTCAGGATCCTTTATAGTGACATAAAATGGACGTCCTTGTAGAATATAAGGGGTTTGATTGCAAGAATGAATTCTGACTGCCCAAACATCGCAGCTTTATGCAGATCCCTGAGCTGTGGTCTTTTGACAAATGAAACAGCTTTCCATGTTCTCCTTGTACCAGACTTACAACCCTTCAGACTCCTCTGTTCTCACCGAAGTTCTTTGCCATCAGCAGAGTGAGCAAAGTTGCTGAGGTACTGAATAGCACCCTGATATTTACAGAAAGTGCTGGGTGCTAATGCTCTCATCTTTCACCTTCAATTCTCCAGCTGACATGCTCTGGAAGGCAGCTACCCCATAAAGCTGTGTGTAATTTAACATAAATCTGAAATTAAAAGGATGAGAGAGCTTGCACGAGTACAGATAGTTATATTATCTATATTATATATAGATCAATAATTGTAGTGCAGATAATGCTGAAGTGTGACATGCTGGTTCTCCCTGTAAGAAGACTCAACTGCAGCATCAGTGATAAAAGAAAGTGCTTTCAGCCCCAAAGGAAACAAGCATAGAGGCACGCCGTGGAGACAGAGCAGGCTTGGGCTGGGGCACAGAGCTTTTGACATTAGAAAATACATTCCAGTTCAACCTCAGTTTCTTCTAGTAGCTTTGACTCATTCTGACACTTTTTCTGCCCAGCCTTAGACAGTCCTCTCATGTTTGCCTGCACTCCAGCCCACATCTCACTGCACCACTGCTACGTGCAGGAGATTCAAGGTCTAAGGCACGCCTCAGGGCATGCAGAGCATTTTGTCATCTTCTTGCTTAAAGTGCTTGCTGACACCTAAATAAGCATCTTGTAGACTTTGTGTTCATTAGACTATCCTTCTAACAGGGAATAGGAAAAATAGGACCAAGGCAGAAATAAACCCAGCTTGTTTTGTATCTATGCCATATCCGTGAGCAATCCTACATGTTCATTGCTGGGCTCACAGCATCCTTCCTTTAGCAGCGCTGTACCTTTTCGGAAGCTCTGCAGACCCCACAGCTCTGCAGCTCACTCTTGACAATCATTAAAGAGGTGAATGGGATTGTGAGTTTGCAGGTGAAAGACTGAAAAATGGCCTCTCGTACTTTACAGACTATTTGCACAAGAGATGAGCAGTTAAACAGTAAAAAATGCAAAACAATTGCCAAATAACTAGCTCTTGCTGGATATCTTGTGGCTTCTGTCCACAAACATCACAAAAAATGAAATAGGAATGACTCAGATATTGGTGAATGTTATTGATAGATGCAGTATAGTTAAACAACATTGCTGTGCCAGAGTTTTTCACAGATATCCACAGCGTGTTTCCAAATTTCAGAATTCAAAGGGCCCTCATCACTACATTCTCTCAGTTCTCCATCCCAAGCTCTGTGGTACTCAGATGAACAAGCAGATCTCAGTATTCTTATACATGCTTAAAGGGGACTGCCAAGTAAATTTAAAAAACAGGGTGCTGCTTTTGCCCCTGGGGGAAAAGCTATTCTGATCAGACAGAAGGTCACACAGCTGCCAGCTGGGCAACACAAGGCCAACCGGCCACGTCTCCTGCTGATAGTGAAATATTTCCCATGTGTGAGGTCATTGACTTGGAAGCAAAAAGACACACAAGTCACTCCTATTAAAAATGAACAAGCTGTTTCTTACCTGGATAAAATATCCCCCTGTGAGGTTGCAGCTGGAATGCAGCCTAAGTTTATTAACAAAAGATTTGCCCCTTGAGACACGGGCTCACTGCATTCACTGCTGAGTAGTGTCAAAAATATTACAAGATACAGTCCAGACATTAAACCTCCATTGCTGAGAGGGCTTGCTTAATTATTTTCTTGAATGAAGCATTTCTTGACATGGTGAGCAAGGGAATTCACTGTCAGGAAGGCAACATAATTAATTGTACTGCGAGGAACATGTCCTTTCATTATCCGTTCATCACTGTGCACTTGAGATGCAGGATTGCAGTCTGTTTGCTGCATTTCTCTCTCAGTTTCTCAGCTGCCCTCAGGCTGCTCTCCTCTCTTCTGTTCTTTGGAAGGTGAAAGCAATGGAGAAGATCACCTGCATATGAGTTTGCTTCTGCCCCAGTCTTAGGTGATGAAAAGCCCTATGGCCTTTTAGGCCAGTGGTTATTCGTAACAGCAGGCGGCCAGAGGAGTTTGCACCAAGGTCTGGAGCAAAGATCAGAGATAAAGCTGCACAAATGGGAGAACTGCAGCTGAGGCACAAACCTGTCACCAGGACAAACCCTGCCTTGGTGCACACATTACAAGGCAAGCCTTCCCCTTCTGCAGTTCCACCCAGCAAAACTAACAGGCTGCAGAGTCAATCAGCTGAGAAGGGGCCGGAGCACAGGACGCAGCGTAAGGGCTCTGCAACACCTAGGTCACAGCTGTTGAGTTTCATGGCACACAGTGCAAGGCTCACCTCAGCTGAGAACTGTAAGAATCAGTCAGACTTGGTCACAGGAAGCACAACAGAGCACAGTGAATAACTAACAGCTCCTCTCACTTCCTCATGCACCCTTCTGTGGTAGCAGCCATTTCCCAGCATGTTTCTATCCACCCACAAATTACTCAGCTGATAAGAAAGTCTGAGTGAAAAAAGCTCTGTACAAAAATTCTGAGTCTGCCAGACCTGCAGGGATGTTTTAGAACACGGAAATTAAGTTTTGTCTCTAATGCTGTATTTAGCTGCGATTCACGACGGGTGGATCGGGACCACCGAACAAAGCTGTGCACGAAAGCAGGATTAACAAAGCACGTGAGGCAGCTGCCCTTCCTCCTCAGCCACGGTCACAGCAGGTATCATGCAGTCAGAGGGCAAGCACACATTTTGCATAGACTTCTGATGAGAAAAGTGGATTCCTGACAAAAGGACACTTCTGGTCAGTGGGTGATGCCCAGAGGCTACTTCTGACAACAAGCCTCGGCCAAATCCACCCCTCCTGCAGCTCCACTGACCTCAAAGCACAGGGAAAAAGTGGTACTTTGTTTTCAGCTTTGTCCTAACCAGTGCTTTGTACCAGCAGAGGGAGGTACACATGCAGACATAAGAACAAAACACATGAGCCCAGCTTCTCTGCTGAATACAGCCTGTCCGTATTTCTGTTCTGGTCAGTGCAATGCTATTAAGTTTAGCTGTTCTGCCAAATGCTTCCAATCTGTGTCACAGTGTAACACGACCAGCAAGCACAGTTCTCATTATTTTGCTAATGCAGCACGTTCACTGCCTGAGCACAAAACCAAGAGAGAGAAAGCAGAAGCAAAGCTACCCTTAGAAAATTTAACACTTAAATCAGGCTGATGGAGCAACAGCATGACTGAATCACCAAAAGAGAAAGTTCTGCTTGCACTGCCAGCACTCGAGGAAAGCAGTGCAGCCCCATGAGCCCTACCCCAGCTCTGCATCCAGCCCTGCCCTGGCAGCACTCGCCCTTCACCCTGCAGAGCTCTTGCCAGCAGCAGGCTGGCTGTGCCTGCCCAGGGCCTTGAGGCCAACCAGATAAGAGCCATAACCAAAGAGAAGCCCGCACCAGGTAACAGCTGGCAGGGAAGGCAGGGACACTTTACCGGAAAGGAGACGGTCAAATTCTAACTTTCAACATTTCTTATCAGAGGTGGTGTTTCTGAACAATAGAGGGATTTTTTTTCCATCACTGGGTTGGGCTGTTGTGGGATGCGAACAAGTCCACAAGTTGCCATTTGTCACACTGCTTTCAGACTGAGAAATTACACTAATGCATAAATGAAAAATGATGAATCACTGTAAGAGTAAACAGGAATGCTCTATTTGGCCCAGAAACCTTTTCAGAATGTGTGTTTTAAATACACACAGCCTCGTGGTAAAGAGCCTTACATTTAAGCACGAGACATTTTCAAAGTTTTCCCTAGAAAATAGAGAAAATACCCAATCTGAACGAATTCTGAATGACAAAGGCATTCATTAATCACCTGCTGGCAGCTCACTGTGCCACAGCTGCTTATGGCTTCCTTCTCTACATCAGCCGTAAGCAAAGGCATTTTGGGGAGCCAGCCGATTTATAATGGCCCTTTCACCTTTCACAGAATCATTCTGGTTGGAAAGACCACTGAGACCATCCAGTCCAACCACCAGCCCACCCCCACTCCCACATCCCTCAGTGCCACAACCCCTCAGTTCTTGAATACCCCAGGGACAATGACTCCATCACCTCCCTGGGCAGCCTGCTCCAAACAGCTGCAACAAGTTTGCTCCATACAGCAGGGTCCATAGGTGACCCTGCTATAATGAAGCTACTCATTATTCTTAGCTGTTTAACTTTGGATCAGCATTTCATCTGGATCACCCCTCACATTTACCTTTGATGGGGCTGTTTGGAACAGAAGCGTTGAGAAAGCCACAAGTTTTATTTCCATGCTCAAGTGGCTTAAGAAGGATTAAAGTCAATGAGAAGAAAATAGCTTTATCCCCCCCAGGAGTAATGTCAGTTGATCAGTTTAAACACAGATGTTTTGAACTACACATCTAATGAAAAGTATATCAAGGCTTCAGACATCTGCATAAACAGGGGCATTCCTTCCCTTCAAAATAAATTCTTCCTATCATGTCCTCTACTATGCAAATATCTGACAAAGAAATTAGAAAAGCTAACGTAATGGGTGGTCTGCCTGGGTGACAACATCTCCAGTCGATGACAATATGTCATTTGTTACTGATAAAGAGCACTTAGTATTCCCAAAATGCAGCTGCTTATCTGGTGAGAGAATCAACTGATCAGTCCCATGCAGGCTAAAAGATTAACAGCTGCATATCTGACCAGGCTCCTGAATGCCTTGGAGGAAATAAGACTCATTGCCATTCTCAGTTCTCAAGCATCTCCCAAAAGAAGCATTTTTTAATGCCCTTACAAAATGTTTTGAAAGTTGTCTTATTCATTAAGGACATCGTTGTAATAGTTCAAATCGCTGTGATAGCATTATAACTTAGAACAAATGTTTGCACATGAATAAGTCAGGCTTGTAAAGAATTTACAAGCTCAATTTGTTTACACTCATCCTCAGTTTGAGTTTGAGCAGTGCTGTGTTAGCAATCCAAAGCATCACAGTGACACAGCATTAGAGTGGCTCAGGGTAAGCAGTTACAACACACGGTGATTTTGGTGCCCCCCACGCCCTGACTGCCCACTTTCTCCTTTCTGTTCACCTTTACAACTTCATTTTCAGGCAGTTGTCTTGTTTGGTGGGGTGGGTGGTTTTCTACTCTCTTGCCAATATAAGGCAATTTCTGGATGTGAAACTGCACAACCTGTCCCAGAGATTCATCCAGAGAAGAGCGAGCTCATTCTCAAGACAGAACTGACAACTCCGGGACTTCCCAGCACATAACAAAACCATTCCTAAATAAGGCTGATATTTGATGACATTTTATAGCATCTTCCTCAGAGAACTTGACAGACAGTCCCTCGTTCCCCTGTACAGAAGGGTTCTGTATTTACAGGCAAGGATCATAATTTAATAGAAGAAAAGTCGACTGAGATGTGATGTTACACCCTGACTTACCAGGGTTAAGGATGGACACA